TGCAGTGTAGACGCACCTTCGGAGTCCAGATCCCACCCTGTTATCAGGGATCATCAGTGGTGGCTGCTAGGAGAGCAAAAGTGCTGTGTAGATGCTCCCAGTTTTGAAATAAGCTCTTTCAAAATAAGCTATTCAAGTGACATAGTTCAATTTGCGTAGCTTATTTCAAGTTAAGCCCTGCAGTGTAGACGCACCTTCAGAGTCCAGATTCCACTCTGTTATCAGGGATCATCAGTGGTGGCTGCTACATGTCTTTCCTGGGCTTTTGCCAGACTTCTCTACTGAGGCCCACTATTCCCCTGGGCCTCTTTCTTGATCTGTTTAGTCTCTCAGGTTCCAGAGAGCATTGTAGCATTTCTCCCTGCAGCCCCTTTTTGCTCAAGGCTTTTCTTTATAGTCATCACTTAGCTCCTTCCCTTAGCTAATGGGTTTCATCATTAATTGGGCCTGGTTCACTTTCCAGATGCAGCCTGAAGAGTTAATTAACTTCTCAGACCCAAATTAAATTGCCCTATCACAATACTTATTTTGGCATAATTCACGCCAAAATTGTAGGCAACTATGTCTATATCAAGAAAACATTTGTCCAAATTGGGTGGCAACTTATGAGTCAAATGATAGCTAAATTTGGCCAAGGCAAAGTTTTGATTATTGGATAGTGCATTTATTTAAAACTACTGCAAAGACTGATATACTAGTCAGTTCCTTAGGACTCAGTCTTGGTAAATAAATCCTTTGTGTTATCTGGGAAATACCAGGCAAGGATGTCTCCTCTTCCTGATGATATATGAATTGATTATCAACTCAGCACAAGATATCATCAAAATGTGCACAGATAGGTAATAAAGAAGATAAGGTCACATTTACTGTATAAGCTGATGAATGATTAGATTATACTTCAAAGTCTAAACCGTCTATCCTTACGTTATTAGAAATCAGCAATGTAATCAAAGGTAAATAGAACTAAAATGAATTTGCCCACTTCTCATTTGAAAAATATGGCGTTTAAGTTTTAGTTTACCCACTTTTCTTTTTCTTTCTTTCTTTTTTTTTTTTTTTACCACTACATCATGATTACAAATCATAGAATAATTTAATACATGACTAGGACACAAATTGATATTCATCACATTTGAGGTTTTGCTTTACAGGAAAGTCACACAATTCCCACTTGAACTAATTCCTAAAGAATTTAAAGCCTTTGGAATTAAAGTTCCCTCCAGTGGAAAACAAATCCCAATATTAAACATCACTCCTCCAGTTCAGACAATTAGGGTTGATTTAAATAGGTGGATAAACCAGCGTAAGGGGTAGGATAACCCTCATAAAAGTTAACTCTTTCTTTCTGATGAAGTGGGTCTTTTTCCACAAAAGCTTATGCTCCAATAAATCTGTTAGTCTATAAGGTGCTGTGATGGGCCAGCGGCGGCCCGCACTAGAACGGGGCGGGCAGCTGCCCCAGCCCCGGCAGAATGCCCAGGAGGGGCTATCTCGCCGACACGCCACCGGGAAGACGTGCCAGCCGAACGCCGCCGGGAGCAGAGTCCTGCGGCTGTGGGAAATAGGGCCGGCCGGGAGGCCGGGCGGGATGTGCGCGGCCCCGGCGGAATACGCCGAGGCACGACTCCGCCCCCTGTGTCCTGATGTGGGGACGTCAGTGATGTCGGGGGCGGGGGGGGGAGACCCGACGTGACCTCCGGCGGGAGGTTAAAAAGGAGGCCGCAAGCCAAGGCCAGGGGAGGGATGCCCAAGAGACGATCCCTCCCTCCGCCCCCGGTGAAACCAGATGAGCGGGACTCTGGAGGAGGGGAGGACCAGAGACCTCGGCACGGCGGACGAGGAGGTGAGGACCGGCGGCTCGGACGCGGTGGCCGTGGCCATGGGGCTGGCTAGAAAGCAGCCCGGGACTGGGCCTTTTTGGCGCCCGTGGGATGACGCGCTGCGGGTCGGAACCCCGTCAGCCAGGTGAGGGATCAGTACTCAAACCCTTAGGGTCCCGGGCTGGGACCCGGTGGAGAAGGTGGGCCCGGGTCCCCCTACCGCCCCCCCCAGCTCACTCCGTAGTACACCCCCAATGGGTGTGGAAGGCGCATGAGGGAGACAGGAGCTAGCCCCACCGCGCAGCTTGGGAGGTCGGACTGAGGCCACCGGGAGAGGGACGGTGAACACCGGGCTCACAGGGCCCCACCTCGCCCTCCCCCCGAGGGGGGAGGGGCTGGCGGGAGCTCGCGCCCATTAAAACACTGTAAACCCAGGGGATAGACGGAGGGCTCGCTGGGCTGTGACCCCGAGAGGGGGGCACGGGCTCGCTCCCGGAACTAGAACCGTCACAGGTGCCACAGGACTTCTCATCGTTTTTGCAGATTCAGAGTAACACGGCTACCCCTCTGATATTTCTTTCTGGTTTTCTGTGCCTACTTTACAATCAAGTACAGACAGCATCCCACCATCAGACTCAGTCAAAAAAAACAAAAACCCTACAATTACACTTACAAATCTTTGAGTCTAGTTAGGAACCCCTCAAGCTCTGTTGTATAGAGATAGTACACTTTTGGGCCTTGCTAATATAATATCTATCTGGTTGGCTAATGGGACATACTGGTCACTATTGGCCCAGAGAGACCAGTGAACACATGACACATGCTGCAAGACTTTGAGTATCTTCTTTGAGACACTGATCCTTTAGGAAGTACCAAAGGAGTCAATGGGAATAGAGTATCTTCATCTCCTCTCACCAGGCATTTAGGGCTACATCCTGCAAATAGATGTATTCAGACAGATCCCTGAAGCCTGGTCATCTTCAGTGCAGGATGTGTCCACATGCAATAATTGTCATTATTGGTGTCTTAGGGAATAAATCTACTGTTCTCCAGCTTTGAACTGTTCCTTTCCAGAATAAAAGCTGACCCAGAGTGACTACAGTAACCTGTCTGTATCACTGCATTTGGAGAAAACTTAGCTTTCCACTAGAACAGTGGTCCTCAAACTTTTCGGCATCACACCCCTTTTTTGATAAACCCTCACAGGCCCCCCACCCCAATAGCAGCAAAACTTGAGCAAAAAAAAAAAAAGAAACTGACCAGGGCTGAGAAACAAAAATAGCAGCAAAACTTTGTGGGGGGGAGGAGGGTTAGGTCACCTCGTGCCCCCCCGCTCCAGAATTTCTTCATGCCCCTCAGGGGGGCACACACCCCAGTTTGGGAACCCATGCACTAGAGCAGGGTTTCCCAACCTTTTTCGGTCTCCATACCTCCTTGGCTTTTAGTAAACCTTCCTGTACCCCCTATTCAATATGAAAGGAAATAAATTCTAGACTCTAGAATCCACAACTTTTTTCACTAACACTACTACTTTTGGATTATTTCAATTAGGATAATCTAGTTATTTACCAAATATTCCCCGTAGCCCCTTGACAAGCTTCTTGTACCCCCTGGAGCTACATGTACCCCAGGTTGGGAACCCCTGCACTAGAGTATATACAGGGTGGGCCTAAAGAACAGGTTCACAGAGATTTAAACTATTACTAATTTAAGTTTATTGAAAAGACTGAATGCACATGGCATCATGTCCTTGGTAGAACTTGAAACAATTTAAATCATTCCCAGGTACCCAGGCCTTTCACTATGATAGGACAACAAGCATTTTAGGGGCTAAAAATAAACATTATGAACCTGTTCCTCTGTTTTTTCTATGGTTACTGTTGTAAGCGGACCATCTCTCTGTACACTGTAACAAATCTGTGACCATCTAGGACCTTTATAGTTAAATTAGGCTATATAACATGGCAATTCAAATCTTTATGGCAACAAAGAACTCAAATCCTTCTGTTTCAATGGTGCTGAACTCTAACACTTCACGTAAAGATCTTCTTTAACATTAGCAGCATAAGGCCTATGGTACACAGATGAGTATTTTGGTTCCCCATAAGCAGAGGGCAGTGGTACACATACACACTAGCCTGCTCATTGCAATATATATTATCCTCCTTTCTAACTTGCAAAACCTCAGCTTCCCTGAATCAGAGTGTGAAATTTTCAAGGGGGCAGACATTATACAAATCTCTGTTGTCAGAAAAGAAATAGAATAATTCCTGAAGCACGAATTTACATCATTATCTCATACAGGCCCTTGTGTTTGTCTCATTTGACGTACTGTTTCTCACCCTTGGAACAGCCTCCCTTCTTTATGATATCAACAACCCTCCTAGTTCCATTTAAATTGCTCCTTGAAACACACTTCTGTGAAGCCTCCAGATGTAGATGACTGGGTATGACAAAAACAGTGTTCGCAAACAACCATATAAGTTTAGGACAGGCTTTTTGTTCACACAAATGGCTGCTCTTCATACCAGACCAGACATTCAACCAGTCATTAACATACAAACGACAATTCGTTATTCACTTTTTATGAGTCGCTATTCATTATTCTTCTCTTTACAAAGTTTCAGCCATCCAGTCTCTGCAACAAGGGAATAGAAACAAGATCATGTCCTTTGGTGGAGAAATCACATGCCAGAAATGAAGAACATCAAATAGTCAAAGCAAGCTACAGGATGAAATCAGGATCACTTTGCAGACAAGCTAGGGATACACTGTGGATAATTGATTTGCAACGAATAATTCAACAAGCAACAGAAAGCTTTGTTCAAATTATGCCATTTTTTTGAACCCTGAATGTTTTCTGGATCATGTGGTATTATGTGACTTGTCTTCCTATGTTAGACTGTATGTTCCATTTGGCAAGGTCTTGTTCTTTGCAGAGTACAGGTTGTCGTCAGTGTTCCAACATTAAATAAGTACTATGCATAAACTATAAAAAAAGAGCAATGGAGAGAAAGGAGCTGGTCCACAGAAACTTACAAAGTTCTGTTCTGTTGTTGGAGAGGAGAGCTAAATGAACCCCGTTCCCCTCCCCTCCCCCCAGCACACACACAGCCCCACACCAGGCTACACTTTGGTTACCCAAAATCCGTGAAAAAGAGAGAGGGGGAGTTGGGAACTTTTATAAAGGACACAGCTAGTAAAACCACAGCCCCAAGCTTTTATTCTCATTTTGAATGAAATTCTGGAATTCCTTCCACAGAAAAATAGCAGTGGATTTATGGACAGTAGTTAGCAGGCCAAATTAAACAGTCTTGGGATGGATGCCCAGTTGTCTGTGTGAGAGCAGAGTCTCTTTGTCAAGTACCATAAATTCTATTTGCGATCCTCTGAAGCTGTGTAGATTTGACCATGACATCATTTACCACCATAATCATATTGTACCTTTGGTCTCAAGGATCTATTTTTCTTCTACTTTCTTGCTATCTTGAGGCACCTAATGAAGGCTGGATCATGCTGAGCTAACTATCCTGTCAAGGACTAAGTAGATGTGTGCAGCCATTACCTCCTGAGAAGAATCCAGCTGAATAAAGTCATCAGAACTATTTGACATCATTCATGTTACAATAATCAAGCAAAGCTGATAAAGATGCCTGTGGGGACACAGAAATGTTATTTTAAAAAAACCAAAACAACCAAAAATCTCCTGCTAAACATTCTAGTCATTTAAAGCAAGTTTGTACTCAAACATGTATCTGGCCAAATGTTTAAAAATAGACTTCTGCCTTATGTATACAAATTAGGCCCATGCATGAGCTAACAGCTGATAGGGCATTGCATACACAAAAGAAAATATTTGTGTTTGCATACTTACCAGGGAGAACATAGGTGCCAGCTGCTGAAATTTTTAACCATTATGCTACTGTGGAAGTTTTCTGTAACTCTGAAATGTTCATAACTCTAAATAAAACATTATGGCTGTTCTTTCAAAAGTTTGCAACCGAACATTGACGGAATTCATGTTTGAAACTTTGCTATGTACAAGAAAAATGCTGCTTTTAACCATCTTAATTTAAATGAAACAAGCAGAAATAGTTCTCTTACCTTGTCAATTCTTAACCCTCTCCCCCAGTAATTTTCCTTTGACACAGTACACAATTGTAATTACTATGTTTTTTGTCTCTGCTATGAGTAAGCTCCAAGCTTCCATGCTGGAGTGGAGTGTGTGGCCAACGATGGATGGTTTTTTTTTCTGTGGGTCAGCAGCCCCTGTTAGATAAAAGGTTCCCCACCCTGCCTAAGAGAGTCACCAAATTTGGGCTGTGCTCCCATGATCACGAAGCAGTGGACTTGGCAAAAGGCTTGCTCTGGCCAGTCTCCATTGCAAACCCACAAGGGTCTCTGATGCAGTAGAGTGGGAACGTTACTATGAGTTGGGGTGTTGAAATCTAGCCCCGCCCCCCTTACTCCTGACCATCCCCTACCCCAGCTGAAGCAAGGAGCAAAGCAGCTGGGACCCAGGCGCAGGGATGGCAGCAGAGCCCTCCGTGTGCAGGGCAGCATTCAGGAGCTCCATGGGTGCTGCAGCACCCCCTGCACTCCTAGTTCCCATGCTGATGCTCTGATAGTATGGTTTGCAGCTTGGTGTTCAGAAGACAATAGAAGGGTTAATGCTGGTGTATGTGTACAGCAGCCCATTGAGCTGCTGCTGTATGCCAAGCAAAGGGGGCAGCTACCCCAGAGCCCGGTGATTCAGAGGGCCCGGGGCTTCCAGCACCTGGAGCCCAGGGCCCTTTAAATTGCTGCAGGAGTCCTGTGTGGCACCTTGCAGAGCCACAAGTGGCATGCTCCAGACAACATATGGGAGGAGGGGAGACATAGTCTGGGTGACGCCAAAGGCCAGCTGCCCTGGCCCCGCCACTTCCAGGGGTGTGGTGCTGAGCTCTCCCATACTTTGCCCAGGGGCCTGGCAAAATGTTTGACTCACGTGTTCTTTCCTTAAGCTCCCCATCTCACCAGGCTCTGTGCTGCAATGAGCAATTTTCAGCCCTGCAAGACTAGGGCTCATCAATGCACCTGAAACTGGCTTTCCAGTTAAGACAAATACATGTTTTGTCCTGGCCCTTCCTATATACTTCCCATCACTGAAAGCCCAGGGCGGGGCACTAAAGCAAAGTCTTTCCCACTGCAGTGCAACTGGTTTACCGCCCGGCTCCTGAGCATGTCTGTTGGATTCAGATTGTTCAGGGAGGTTCATTTTTCTTTCTTTAGACCAGATCCTCCAGCTGTAACTCAGTCTTGACTTCTCTCTGGGGCTGTGTCTAGACTACATGCTTCTGTCGTCAGAGGCATGTAGATTAGACACATAGGCAAAGGCAAATGAAGCCGCGATTTAAATGATCACGGCTTCATTTAAATTTACATGGCTGCCGCCCTGAGCCAACAAACAGCTGATCAGCTGTTTGTCCGCTCAGTGCGCTAGTCTGGACGCTCCCCTGCCGACATCAAAGCCCTTTGTCGGCAGCCCCGGTATTCCTCGTGGGAAGCACCTGATCAGCTGTTTGGCAGGC